CTTTTCTGGTACTGTCTATATGCTTCTTGTATTTGTATGGACATGTCTTTCTTTAATTTTGGGAAATTTTCTTCCACAATTCTGTTAAGGATCTCATCCATATCATTATCTTTAGAATCGCCTCCTTCCTGTATACCTATGATTCATAGGTTTTGTTTTTTTTTTATGATGCCGCACAATTCTTTCATATTTCATTCTTGTGGTTTTTTTTTTAATTTTTCATAATCTTTACTTGGGTGGTCCAATTCATCCACTTTATCTTCCAGAGTCTGTTTTACATTTCATTCATCCTATTGGTGAGGCTTTCTCCTGTCATTTCTAATTGGCTTACTGGGTGTTTCACTTCCTTCTTCATTTCAGCCTGAGTATCCTTCAATATTTCTAATTCTTTTCTGAATTCATTCAGAAGTTTATGCCTTTCTTCCTTCAGTTCTTTTATTTCTTTGTGTGTTCTTAAATTCACGGAATTCTTTTATCATGTTTGTAATTGTTCTTTTGAATTCCATGTCCTGTGTTATCTCGAGGGGGCTCTCAATGTATTCCTCTAGAGGACTATTGGTACTTGGTAGGCATATATTATTTTGTTTTTTCTTGTTATTATATTTTCTCTGTGATTTTGACATGTGAAATTATTTCATAGTTTGCGATTCTTGTGTGAGACTTAAGCCTTTTTTTGTTGAGTTTAGATCTGCTTCTTTTTGTAAACATTATATGCCTTTTTGGTTTACTTCTTGGACATGAAATGCTGGTTGGTCTAGGCTTCCGGTTCTCTCTTTTAATTTTATATTGGAGTGGCGTAATTGCTTTTGTCTTCAGGAGTTCCCACAGAAGCCCAAGTGGAATGAGGCTCAGATGTTCTCAGGCTTTCTCCTAATGTCTGGATCCCTCCAGGAAAGATGCTGACCTTGGGAATTTGAGGGCTGGGCTGTCCTGGTAGCGGGGTCCAGGAAAAATGTTGGTCTCAGAAAGCTGATAACTGTGCCACCCAGGGATACAAAGGGAGGGACTTAGGGTAGGAAGAGGCCTCGAAGGCTTCTGTGGACTACTGGGAGGAACTGGTTTGGTCTGGATGCAAAGGATCCAGAAGCAGTGGGGATTCTGGGCCTAGAGGTCAGTCCAGGTGTCTGTGGTTCCACGACAAGAAATGGGCCAGTACCCAGACTAGGAGGGGAGCTGGAAGTGTGAGTGAGGCTGGGGGAGTCAAGATTGGTGGACACACTGGACTTACCAAGGAATAGTGCTGGCACCAAGATGACCAGAGGCTGTGCAGCCCAGGGAAGTAAAAGGAGGTGAGGGTAGGACCAAGACCAGAGGACTCCTGGGGACTGCAAGGAGGAACTGAGTTGATCTAGATGCAAAGGATCAGGAGGCAGTGGTTAGCTCTGGGCAGAGAGGTTAGCCCCAGTGTCTGGGGTGCCAAGACAAGAAATGGGCCAGTACCTAAGCTAGGAGGAAAGAGGTGGTGGGGGAGATGGGAGAGTCAAAGAGGCTTGGGGAGTCAAGGCATGGTGGGTGCCAGCTGGACTTACCCAGGAAGGTGCTGGCACCAGGACACCAGAGGCTATGCAGCCCAGGAAGCAAAAGGACTCTCTGTTTATTTTTAGTAATTCACTAAGTCTAACTAGTGCTGCCCAGATGCTCCACGGCATGAGGTCATCTCCCAGTGCATGGTCAGTATTCTCCCCAAAAGAAAAATGACTATCTCTCCAAGCAGTCGTCAGTTGTCAATAGTTCCTCAGCTAGGGCTGCAGTCTTGTGAGCCCCTACCGATTCATGCTGGATTTTTAAATGACTTATTCTTGTGCAGCTCTTATATAGTAAGCACAGTTGCTGTGAGTTCAAATACATAAGACCATTGTTATGTGCAAACCCACCCAAAGAAGGAGGCTTCTCTCATTGCTATTGACTGCCCATCACAAATAGGTGGTGAGACACTATTGTTGGAGACACCAAGCACTTCAAATACAGAATTTAGAGAAATCAGCCTTGACTGACCAGGATAGTCTCTTCCTGTTCATTGTTTAGCTTTCGGAGTCCTGGAAAGAGCTATGCAGCCTGACAAAGGGAGAAAAGAAACCAAGTATTATACAGCACTGGCCTCTCCATGCTACTATTCCAGCTTTCCTGTCAAGTGTTTTTGGAATCTGTTGAAATGGTCTATTTTTGTTGCTGTTCTTTGACTCATTTTGTTAGTGTTTTGCTGCAATCATAAACTCTCATTGTTAAAGTTCTTTTCCCTCTTAAATGTGTAAAAGTTGATTTTTATCTTTTATACACACTACTGGGTTTGATATTCTGGTATATTAGTATGGTTTTTTGTTTTTTTTTTGCTTACTACATAAGAAGCCTATTGTAGATTGCTTGCCTTACAATGAAAGTACTTGTGAAAGTTTTTAACATTTTTTACTATTTTATTATTTTTATTTTATATGTATGAGTACTTTCCCACATGCTTGTAAGTATAACTGTGAATGCAATGCAACAGAGGCCAGAGGAAGGCCTAGGATCCCCTGGAACTGGAGTTATGGAAGGTTGCTAGCCACCACATAGGTGCTGAGAACTGAACCCAGGTCCTCAGAAAAACAATACATGTTAACTTTAGCCCCTTGTGAAGGTTTAACATTGGGGTAATTGAGTCTTCATTAATGAAACATGAGTTGTTGTATCATATATATATAATTATATTTTTGCCAAATTTTTGTAATGTTCATACATTATAATTTGGTGGTATCTAGATCAACTTCTTTCTCTCCACTTCTTTCTCTCACTGCCTCCCTCCCAATTAATGAAGTCTCATATACATATATGTCCTTCAGTATGAATCCATCCACCTGGTCCATGAAGTGTCCCAATGCTGTAAGACATCATCTTTCCCCCTCCCAGCAGCCATAAGTTGCCAAAATTTCCTTAGATTACCTTGGGATTTCTTACCCACCTTCCCATGGAATAACATTGAAAAGATTTCATATTTGTATGTTGCTCTGAGTGACAGTGTTCATGTTTTTATCACTTCTTTGGTCCATATTGTAATATTTTAAAATATTAACTATACTTAGCATTAAATGCTTTATTAAAAATGACTTCACATAATACTATTACCCCATATTTTGTTCTGTGAAATTATTTTATTACTAGTGGTTGTAAATTAACCATCTTCTCAGAGAACAGAGGATAAGGTTTCAAGGTCTGATGTTAATTTCTTTTTGTAAGTCTATTGATTTATTTATTTTTATTTTATGTGAATGAGTATTATGCCTCTATCTATTTAAGTTCACCAGTGCCATACAGTGCCTGCAGAGGACAGAAGAAGGATTCAGATCCCCTGGAACCGAAGTTATGGATGGATGGTTGTTAAACACCATATGGAGAACAGCCAGTGCTCTTAACTGCAGAGCCATCTCTCCAGCCCCAGACGTTAATTTCTTAGTTAATGAGGAAATATGTTGGCTATACATAGTATGGATACTGTGGTTGGAAAATGTCCCCACATATATAACAAGTGAAGTTTATGTTGTTTTTTCAGTCATATGTTGGTATTAGTTTATATCCCATTAGGAGTGTACTACAGAAGAATGTTTTAGCAGAGTCTTAAAAATTTTATCATGCATAATGATGTTATGAACATGAAAAAGCAACTATTATTGCCTCACCCTTCAAGATTTAGATTGAAATTGTAAAGTTGTAAACATTTAATAATCTTATGTATATAATTACATACATATTTTACTATACACAAAGAAAATAGAAAATATATTTTCATACTACATAAAATGACTATTTCATATAAATACATAAGTATAAAACTATTACTGTCTATATCTAATATGCATAATGATTATTTTCATGTTTCTTACCAATATAGGTTTCCAGTGTAGCCTAGATGGATACATACAATCTAACTGAGCTGAAAGAATTCATTCTAATGGGAATCACAGACATCCCTGAGCTTCAGGCCCCTTTATTTGGGCTTTTTCTCATTGTATACTTGGTTGCCTTGTTGGGAAACTTGGGTTTGATCATCCTTACCAAAACAGATTCCAGGCTGCAGACACCCATGTACTTTTTCCTCAGACACCTGTCTTTTACTGATCTTGGTTATTCAACAGCTGTGGGACCCAAAATGTTAATAAATTTCGTTGTTGATCGACCCACCATTTCCTACAGTTGGTGTTCTATCCAGCTCACCTTCTTCAGCCTGTTTATCACTACTGAAGTTTTCATTCTCTCAGCAATGGCCTATGATCGCTATGTAGCCATCTGTCACCCGCTGATGTACATGACCATCATGTCTCAAAGGTTGTGCCACGTGCTGGTGGCAGCACCTTATCTCTACAGTATATTTTTATCTTTACTGACAATTATTAAAATTTTTATTTCATCCTTTTGTGGCCATAATGCCATCAGGCATTTCTACTGTGATAGCCTGCCATTGATATCTTTGCTATGCTCAGACACACATGAAATTAAACTGATCATTCTAATATTTGCAACTTTTAATTTGGTTTCTTCTCTTCTGGTAGTTTCTGTGTCCTACATTCTTATCCTTGTGGCCATCCTCAAGATGAACTCTGCCGCAGGAAGGCACAAGGCGTTCTCCACTTGTGGATCCCACTTGACAGTGATAGTCATATTCTATGGGACTCTTTTCTTTATGTATGTGCAACCCAAGTCCAGTCACACATTTGAGACTGGTAAAATGGCCTCTGTGTTCTATACCTTGGTTATTCCTATGTTGAATCCCATGATCTACAGTTTGAGGAACAAAGAAGTAAAACAGGCCTTGCATAGAAAGTGGAAACTGTGTGCAAATATTCTGATTAAATTGTAAAATTCTAGCATAATAACAAGAAATCACACTATAGTCAGTATAAACTCTAACCACTATCTCTTTAGCCTTATGCTATTGTCTTGTGGAATGGGAAAGAATGTATACATGATAAACACAGATTTAAAGACACATGTTCATCCAATTTCATTCTACATTGATTGTAATTGCACTACTGATTCCTACTACTTCAAATATTGATATTTGTAAGGTGAAGTCTAACTTGCAAGCCATTGCTACATATTATAATGTTGTCTGCATTTAGTTCCCTTCTAATAAACTATTTTAAGTTACAGAATATGATTCTTCCATTCTGTTTCATCTCAAGTGCCTAACTGAGTAAAACATAAGCAAGATACCCAATATGTATTTATGTAGAGTCATGTGATCATTAAACAAAATGGTTAATCTAACAATAAAAACTCCTCCCTCTTTGAGATACAAAAATAAATATAAAAAATACAATAAATCTATCAGTTAAATACTAGAATAGAACAGGTATCTAGATGTAAGTTAAAATTTTCATTAAATTTGAGAGCTTATGAGAAAATGACAATAAAGCAAGCACCAGTAGAGTTCAGAGAGTGATTGTCTAGACATCTAAGGGAATTGTATATTTTTTTGAGAGAGCTATTAATAAAGCAATTGTTAAATAATAATTACATTATTAAATGGTCATTGAAGTCTGGACCAGCAGAGGGAAATCTAGTTGGATAAAATAAGATTAAGCTATGGAAAATGTGATGATGGATGTGTAATATGTAACAATAATATTTCATCATAAAACATGGATTGATTCTGACTGAAAAAGAACCACTGCTGAAATTATGATTGAAGAGTCATAAAATCTTTCTTTGGTAATGGAATACACAGGCTGCTCTATATTTCATAGATTTCAGGATGCTAAGACTTGAAAATGGAAAATTCTATATGATTTTATGATAAATTTAGCAGATAATTTATGTTTAGGCCCAAAAAGATATATTAGCATTGTATGTGCAAACAAACATATCTATATTTGCAGTAGAAGTGTCAGCTTTCCAATCAATAATGGACAGGAAATAAATGGGCTACAATCCTGAAAAAATTTTAGTACAATAACCCAAAACAATTAAGTATCCTGCCATAAATAGCCATCATCCACGTTCTTCACAAGGTCACATGGAATACTGAAGGTAGCACACTAACTTTGAGGTCCTAGATCAAGTTTCAATAATTTAATTAGTTTTGTCACACAAATTACATTCTATCACTACCGTGAAATCAAATGTTAACTCAGCTGCAAACTGTAAGCAGACTAAATCAACAAGTGCTTAGGAATAAAGCATAACTTCTTCTAATGCATATGTCAAGAAAGGAAATCAATGACACTGAAAAAGCATTTTCCTAAAGGAAAAGATTTCTATGTGCTCACTATGAAGAATAAACTCTTAAGTTTTTATTGTGGTAGTGTATTAGAAAGCTTAATTTAATTCTCTGCAGGTCAAGTTATATTTTTGTACCTAAGAAATATACATATTTTTATTTATCAATTAGTGTGGCAACTGGTAGTTTTCCATGCTTCAGTGGATGACTACACAGTTATGTATATACAGGCAGCACTAAGGGGGCTTAGTGGGTTTTAAAAGAAAAGAAATGAAATTTAGAGGGAGTTATGATGATGTATGGGGAGATTTGGAGAGCAAAATGGTGGGTAGATAGGATTAGATTTCATTGTACACATGAAAGAAATCGTCAAAAATAAAGAAAAGAATCAAACAACACAAGTGAATCATAATACATTTTATATCAATAAAATCTTCATAGTATAATATGTGTACAAATATTTTCATGATTTTGCAAGATACAGTGAAATGCAGAATGTTATCAAACTCAGTCAAATACATGACAAAGTGGTGAGAAATTATGGAAAAATTTGATTAAATATGCACAAACAGTGCTCCTGAGTAGCAATGGAGACCAAGGTTTGTGCCATATTAGATACAATCTGATCTTGTTTGGTAACATTATCTCAGTAACTCTGACATACTCATTATATTTTATGGATACACCTATGATATTATTACCTAATAGTTGTACATGTTTTCTTCTAACATGCAGAATGTACTTCTGTTTGTGGTATCTACTGCTAATTGAAACCAGAAATTTTGATTGTGTATGGTCCCAGGAACCCAAAGAGAAACTTGCATTCAAGGCACCACTAAAATGGATGCTATACTCAGAACATCCCTTTTTAATCTTAGTAAAATTGTATTTCCCTGTATTTTGAACATAAGCTGAATTTTGATAAATTTCAAAGTTTACATTATTTCTTTTGGACTGATCAGTGGTATTCTTCCAAGGTCTCTTCATACTGACTAATTTTCATTTCGTTTTTCTACTACCTAATAGGACCTACCATAGTCTCAGAGCATGAAAAAGTACAGTTTTGTATTAAAGGATATCCCACAACAACTGGTCCCATTTGAGACACAGATGGCATACATACACTCTCTGCAGTAGGGACAAGAATAAAGGAAGCATCACCAGGAACAGAATCATAGGGGAAATTTCATGTCCTGCATTTCTAATTTGATGTTCAGCCTCTTGAATGAGTTTCTTCTGCTGGGCCCAGGTAGGAAAAGCAGTATGCTGGGTAGAAGGCATGCTCTCTCACTGATGGTGGCAATGAACATCTTCTTGAAAGGGGCCTCCAGGGGTTCTTCACAATAAAAGCTTTGGTATTTCATGTCAGGGCTTTAATCTTCATCAGAGCATCCAAAAGTCCTTACTGTGACCTGTAGATACACAAGCATAACCCCAACCCCATACTTTAACCTAACTGACTTCTAATAGTTAAAGAAAAGATTTTTCCATCAAGTAAGTTGTAAATTGAGAGAAGTGGGTTTAACCTTTTGTCATTGGGCAAAAGAGTAGTCCTGGTCATCCAACAATGTATAATTAATGTCATAAAGTGTCAAAGCAAATTGTTATTTAGGGGTAGAACAAAACCCCCTTTGTTTTACACAGATATAGTTTGAGAGGATGATATTTGTGTTCTCAGTAGCCTGGCCTTGAGGGTTGTACAGGATCCTAGAGCAATGGGAAACAACAATAAGCCAAAAAGTGAGCACTAGCAGAAACGGGAGCATTATCTGCTTTAAGACTCTTTAGAAGGCCTAGAATGGTGAAAGAGGCTAGTGTATGAGTGAAAACAGGAGTCGCATTTTCTCTTCCTGAGCAGCTGCCCCAGTAAACCTGAATGAAAATTAATGTGGGTAACATATATTGGATGTGCCTGTGTTCCATTAAAGTTTGTGCCTATAAGGAAGAAACAGCAGATTCCTATTTAGAAACCATGGAGATTAGAAGTGGTACATTGTTTTTCAGACATGAAACAGAACTGTATACACAGAATCCTGTATCCTGGATGAACTGGATGGTGGATGCCGATTTGCCCATCCCAGTGCTGCCACCACAAAGCTAGTATTTCTCTTGGCTGAGGCATTACGCCAGCCAGGCACAGCTACAGGGACACCCAGAGAAGAGCTGGACCCATCTTTGGGACATGGATGGCCTTGTGGCTACAGGTTGGGTCAGAGAGGCAAGAAGCACTGTGGAAGAACCCTGAGGGTGGCCACTGGAGCAAGACTCCTCTCCACAGCTCCCTAGTATTGCCAAACGCAGCTCTACATGGCTGTCTTTTTTCAAGTCTCCAATTTATATTGGAAATGTTAGGCAAGAAGATGCATTCAGTCTTTTTTTTTTTTTTAACCAGTAGTCCTGTAGGAGAATAGGGAGAAGAAAAAAACAAGAAAGGTAACAGGCAAAGAGTTCTGTTAATTGAACAATTTGTATGTTCTGGTCCCCCCCACCCAACACACACACACTCACACCAGGGACATTAAAAAAACAGCCAAATCTCAGTTTTTATGAGTGACAGAACCAGAAATCTGAATCCTGAGGGAAGCCTCCTGTGAGGGTTACCCTGCCTAAAATTAAAACAGAAACAGGACCAGAGTCCTCAGCTACTGTTGTTCCAGTATTATTAGAAGATAGAAAGAAAACTCATTATTATCCTTCTATTCCTGTAAAACCTTTTGATTGGCTGCCACTGAAAGAACAGCCATCTGTGAAGGCTGAATATTCAAAGTTATAAGATAATGTAACAGCCAAACATTCAAAGGAATAAAATATTGCTTTGTATGTGTGCTTGCTTAAATGCTCACAGATGGCCATGTTCACATATTAATCCTTCAGATCGATGATCATAGAAAGTCTTTCTGTGTTCTGGCATCTTCTTCCATTTCTTTCTTCAATGTCTTAAAGGTTTTATTAGATTTATCACTTCCTTTGTTAGATTTATTGCAGGATACTTTATACATTTTGAGGCTACATTTTGTGTTTGGCTTTCCAAGGCTTTCAGGTTGTGTCATTTTTTTATGTGAGATATTTCTAATTTTCTGATGTAGGCATTTAATGCTACAAATTTACCTTTCAGTACTGCCTGTATTCTTTCCCAAATGTTTTGCTGTTCCATTGTGTTTTTCATTTTTGTTCAAAGAAAGTTTTGTTTTCCTCCTTGATTTCTCCTGTGATTCAGTTTTTGTTCAGTGATGTATCATTTAGCTTCCATAAATTTGTGACTTTCCCCATTTATATTTGTTGTGGTTTATATCTAATTTTATGCTTCTGTGGTTGAATAGGATACAAGATGATGTATCAGTTTTAATAAATTTGTAGAGACTTGCTTTAGGTACTATTATGCACTAAGTTTTGAAAAAAGACCATTGAGCTTCTCAAAAGAAAGTACAAACTTTGGTGTTTAGATGGATTGTCCTGTAGAGGTCTATGCAGTCCATTTCATTTATGGTGTCAACTCCTAGGCTTCTTGTTTAATTTATGTCTGGTTGACCTGTCTATTGATAACAGTGGGGTCCTGAAGGGATCCACCTTCACTGTGTTGACAGCATTGTGAAATTTCGACCTAATAATGTTTCTTTTATGAAATTGGATACCCCTAT